CGGGTAACAAAACATTTGCAAGAAAACAACCAAGCTCAGAGAACCCCAAGGACTCCACAGTCCTTGAAGAAAATGCTAAGGGTTGTGTCATAATTTTGAGACTGAAAGGATTGAGAGTGGCTGCTTTGTTTCCAAGGTTGGATTCACACACAGCATTATGACATAACCTGGTTTGTTTGGCTTAAATTTAGTGTATTATTTGAAGGTTGGGGTTTATATAAAACATGGCTTAGCACAATGTGCAGACCAGGTTGATGAGTTGCACTCTGCCTTGTCTCTATCCAAATTTTGATGGAAGTAGTCAAAATTAAAAGGCACTGGCTCCGCTACATCGCAACTCACAATAGTGTTTATCTGTCCTCAGTGGTGGCACACCCAGAACAATGACAAAGAGTTGCAAAATGCCTTTTCTTATTTTGAGAATACAGACCTTTTGCATTTGTATTCAACTTAGAAACTGATGAGGCAAGTAACTATTCTAATTTATCTTTATTTTGCATTATGGGAAAACGTTTACAGTGTGTTTTTTATGCTAATGCTGCTCAGGTTAGTGCTGTTTTTTAAAATCTGTAATTCAGCCTCCCCCTCTCCCACCACCCCCTCCGGAGATCCAGATGGCCCCAACCCTGCTGGCCTTCCAAAGGCGGTTAAAAAAAAGGCTTTTCCCATAGGCATTAGGGACAGGTTGTTAGTGGAGCCCAAAATTGGTAAATTTATGGCTGCAGATTACACACAGTATGAGGTACTCTCGGCTTTAGTATGTTTATTTGGTATTGATTATATTTGTATTCATGTGGTTTTTACACTATTGTTTTATATTATGAGCCGTCCAGATTATTTGCTTAAGAGGGATGGCCATATAAATTTCTAAATTAAATATGAATAAATAAATAAGATGACCTACTTCTAAGAATGTGGACAATGCTGTGTAAGAATGTCTCTTCAGGCGGACAGACCAAACTTTGGAACTTTATATCTGGAAGTCAGCAAGCTTTAACTCTATGTTCATGCATACCCTGGCCTGTAGCTACCTCTAGTGTCCAATTGATGCATTTTACATTATGGCTGCCAGAATTTCTAACATACAGTACAGTGTATTTTTCACTTTGTGTCTGCAATATCCACAGTCCCAGAATTTGGTGGTGGTGGGGATGTTATGTTCCTCCAAATAAACACATTGAAATTGATCTTCCCGATTGGTTGCTGGCTGACCAGATTTTTGCCCTCTGCAAGATAAAATATAATTTTCATCTAAAAGTCCCAATAATTTTCCAGTCTTTATAATGGTGGTTGTTTTTGCATACCAAATTGCATAATAATTCTGTAAACATATCTTAGTTGGAGTTACACCAGTTGGAGCCTCAGGAGGATATACCTTACCTTCTTCAATATTTAATTTGCTGTTAGAAGCTTTGTGATGGTTATTAGTAAGACAATCTATTGATATTCAAGGCAAATGGCAGGAATCAAACACAAGATGTTTTTATATGCTGATGATATCTTGGGCCTTTCCAATAATTATCAAAAAATTTATGCAGATGGCACAGAAATATTCTGTAAATACTCTGAATATACAATTAATTAGAACAAAATTAGCATTTTGCTAATTGGTAATAAGGTATCTATGAAAATATGTAAAACATGTTTTTGTTTTCTGCTCAGACTTTTAAATACTTGGGGATAAGTGATCTTACAAAAATATTTTGTTTGGTAAATGTTTCAAGCTGTATACCACAAATAAATGCAGACATTACTAGGTAGATAAAAATACCCCTAAGTTAGTGGGGAAGAGTAAATGAAGTGAAAATGAATGAGGCTTTAAAACTGATAGGTAAATGATGGGTATGTTGATTCTACTCAGGTATTTTAAACAATTATAATATTGAATAAATAAGGGTCCAACTGGAAAATTATGTGGCACCCTTGAAATCCTGGCAAACATTCAGTTCTGAATACAGTAGGAATTGTTTGTACTTCTAACACTGAAGTTAATTAGGGCACAATTGGGCAAGAAATTAAAATCTGACTTTTGTTCTCATGACAAACCCTGGCTAATCCTTATTTAAAAATGGTCAGGAAAACCTTTATTTGGGAAATAGGAGTGTAAAATAGTTCTTTGTTGGCTTGGTGTGTTTCACAAATTCCCCCCAAAATGTATTAATTCAGGATTGTTCCCTAATTTGCCCTCCTTGCCTTTCACTTAATGTTTGTGCAAATTTAATAATATTGATAAACCAAGAGATCAAAGACATTGATTGCAGGAAAGAGTTTCCTTCTGCAGTAAAACAGACACCTTTTTGCATTAGGAAGAGTCTGGCAGGCATGTCCAATTTCAAGAAAAGCAAGGTACCTTCAGTGATCAGCTGGATCCAGAATCAGACAAAGGAGTGGTGTACTAATACCCTCCCTTTGAATGGAGTCCCCAGCTCTTGGAGAACTGAGGTTTCAGGAAGCCAAGGAGCATACTGAGCAGATGAAACCAGAGAACACTGAAAAGCAGCTACTGACAGAGATTGCCTTCCTTCCCCTCTGCGGGAGAGTCCTCCTGACATTGCCCTTTGAAGACCAGAGCTCTGCACATAACTTGCAAATGAAAGGTGATTCTTTTATTTATTTGCTATTTATATTCTGCCTGTCACTCAGCTCGAGGTGGCATATATAGTGCTCTTTCTTCCCATTTCCCCCCAAAAACCTGTGGGGTAGGTTGGACTGAGAAAATGATTGGCCTAGAATTCCCTAGGGAGCTTCCATAACTGAGGATGAATTCTGAGTTTCTTTGTTGTAGCAAGTCTCTCCATTTCTCTTTCTGTTTTGTCCAGCTGTAGCTAGCCACTGCCACACACTGAGCTCCCACTTCAATTTTCTCATTGAACAGAATGTGCTATTCTCTAAACCCCTTGTCTTTCTCTCATTGAATTGGATAATGTGCTAAATTCTGATAGATTACTGCTTATTTCTATGCTTGGCACAAGAATTCCTTGTACTACCTTCCCCACAGATTATCAACTGCTTATTTGATTGTCCTTTACACCAAGAATAATTTAATTGTATTGATCAGTTATTGATTAGTCCACCAGGGAGCTTCTGTGGCTGAAGTGGTGGGGCTACCCTGTCCAAGTCCAACATCTTAACTGCTACACCACAGAAGACTTCATTACAAAGAAAATTCAGGATTCAACTGTATGCTTAGAAAAATGCAGGGACAATGTCATTAGTTCTCCTTCAGGACTAATGGTAACTACAGTTAAAATTCTACTTTAGAGTTTAAACTTGAATTTAAATCTGTTTTTATTCCATGATATCCATCACCTGAGAATTGTTATAAAAAGCCTTATAAATAGAGAATAGGAGGTGCAATAGATATTCCTATACAGTTTTTCCTATTGTGCCCCTGAATTAATTTATCCCTGAATGAAATATTATTTTTAATAGGAAAAAAACATCATGCAAACATTTTAACTCCTTTTCTAAAACTGTCAGAAAGGAACTCTTTTTTCCTTTTGCCTGCTTGAAACGACAGTCTCACAAAACCGCATCCGTCATCAAACAATTATGGGTAGCTTGCAGTACTCCTATTTACAAATTCAAACAGCAAGGGATAAGTATATAAAAAAAACCCTTTATTTGATGAAGAGAAGCGAGCCCTAAAAAATCAGAAAACCTTTTCTGTCATGAAAAGGCCTGCATTTCAAATAGGGACTTTTTTTTTTTTTAAACTTCAAAATCCCTGCTTCCAGGGAATCATGACCTCCCAAATCCCGCACCGCCTTTTCTTCGTAAACACAAACCCGCCCAACCACGTTTTCAAAGCCTCTTTTCTTTCCTGAAACGCCTCAATTCCACTATACATAATTTTTTTTTTTAACCAGAGCCTCCCCTCAGTCACAACCCAAACGAAGAGAAAAAGACG